CCCCCCCCCCCCCCCCCCCGCCTCAACCACCACACAACCCCTGCTGGCTCTTTTTTGGCCTGCCCACTTTTTCATGTCATCTCTACTTACCAAAAGCCTGGAACAGGTTAATATCAAGCCGTTATTGATAACAGCTATTGTTTGTTGTTGCTCCGGGCTATACAATAAATAACTGCTAGTCTGACCCCCAAATATCATTGAATGGCCCGACTGAGAGGTGGTCACCAGCCCTCCCTTCTCATATATCCAACCCTCCCCTCTCCTGCCCTCCTTGAAAATTTGGATCTGTTAGGAATCACTAACTATTAGTCTCATAAAAAAATTCCAACTGTCCTCAAAATTTACAACTGTTATTATGTAGCCATAGCTAAAACTGGTAGATAGATCAACTTCAGACTGAGTCAAGAAAATATTAACTTAATTACTATCATGAAACACTGACTGTTCCCAAACTTTTGAAATCACTTTCGCCATCCTTCTTCACTTGTATACTTGCTTTCAAATTCAAAGGAGAATTAACTTTAGAGACATATTTGTAAACAGATGTTAAGAAGGAAAAGGTCCTTGGAGTTAGCTCCCGACTCATGGGCAATGTGTTAGCAAAAATCCTTTGATCCATTGAGCCGGTTAGAGTAAATTTATAAGTACGATCAGTGCATACATTTGCTACTTCTAGCGCAAAGGAGAAAGTTTCATAATCCCTTCTCAAGAATAAGAGACAATTCAAATCCAAGTCTTTCACAGTTGTCTCTGAACCAAACATTTTACGTGGAACACCATTCTCAAATAGTACTCCATTCTTTGTTACATCTGTACTGCTCTCTTTGGCGCATGCACAGAGCTTGATGTCAACCGATTTGTCAACGCATGGCTCAAACGTGCTATACCTCGTCTGCCGTACAAAACTAAGAAAAAATACTCTTTGTTTTGGTTGAGCGAACTGCTTTATGGAGACTTTATAAACTTCATCCTCTTCATATCCATGTGGAGGGACCACATGTATGTCCATAGTGGTCATAATGTACTCCCCGTGGAAACGTTTAGTAACATTGGTAAATGTTTTTCCAACAAGGCGTTCACAGTTTCCAAACCCAGATTTTTTATCTGTATCACCTGAAAGATGGAAAAATATTAAACCAATTTTTTATTGAGCTCAAGATGGAACACTTTTTCAACTATGTTTGGTTGGAAAACTGGTCTTCTGGAACTATCTATCGAAATCAACCAAAAATAAAAAAAAAATAAAAAATAAAAATGAAAAAAAATTGGTACAGTTAATATTCAATAGTTGTTCCCAACAGAACACAAATTATAATTCAGGCACATTTTGGATAAATGCCATCTACCAGGAAAATTACTGTGCCTCAGTAGTCACCAACAAAAACAATTTCAAAACTTGAGACTGCCAGATAAGAAAAGCAATGAGTTGATTCTGCATTTCTTTTTGTCATTACGTCTATTGGGCAAGTAATATTATAGTGAGGGCAACTCAGATGCGGATCTAGGGAAAGGGTGCTGGGGGTGCGCACCCCTTCCCCGCCCCCCCGCCGAGATGAAACCTTCTTCTTTGTATTTACTTTTATAATTTGTTTACCTCACCCGTCAGTTACGCCAGTTGGTGCAGCTTCTCTTACCTTCTCTTAAGAAAAATCCTGGATCCGCCCCTGCAACTAAAATATAAAGTATACTGGCCCACTGGGCAACTGGATTTCAATTTTTTTTCCTGCCCTAGCTCAAAGTGTGACCCCATCCAGCAGCACATCCCCATTAGCCTATTACTAGGGATCCCTCCCCCTCCCCGCACATTTTTTGCACAGTAATTGCACATACATCTAATTAGTGTTTATTGAAAAAGAGCACATCATAACCTTTAAAAACAACACCAGCCAACATCTTACCTCCCATATACTGTTGTTGTATTGCATCATTCATGTATCCAAGTGCAAATTCTGCCAGCCATTTGTGATTATCTACATTGTCTTTGATATGACCTTCTTCATCAAAGCCTTCACACTTACACCTGGTCAGCGGAAGCATGTACAAGTCTGCGCATGTACGGTTGGCAGGAATGACTGAGAATATGCCTGTTTGTGAAAAATCCTGAGAGTTCATTTTCTCAGGGTCGTGCAAACTCATGAGTGCTTTGTGCAAATCATGTAGGATGAAGAGCCGCTTTTGATTTGTGAACAAGGCAGCCGTCCTTTGTGGTCCCAGCTTTTCTTTGACACCATCAGGAACAATCATGAAGAACGTTGGATCAAATAACTCTCTTCTACCTTCTTCTGTGTAACTAAACGGCGTCATTTTGTGGCCATGGTCTGAAAATATGATGGTAAGGGTGTCAGAAAAGCCTGCCAAGTTGACGAAGAACTTTGCCAAGTTGGCATCCATGTTGATCATCCGCTTTCCAGTCATTTCATGTCCAGTGTTAAAATGCATGTACGACAGCAAAGGTTTTGCCTTTTCATCTTTTTGCAAAGCAGTGTACACCTTCGTTATGTAGTCCATGAAATACCAACTGAAAAACTGGCCATTGAAACACACTTTAGCAGGAGAATCATAGTGGCTTGTTCTGCCGTACTTGTTCACTACCGTGCAGGAAAAATGTGTCAAGCCATAGTGGTCAATTTTTTTCTTGATCAACTTTNGTTTCATAATCCCTTCTCAAGAATAAGAGACAATTCAAATCCAAGTCTTTCACAGTTGTCTCTGAACCAAGCATTTTACGTGGAACACCATTCTCAAACAGTACTCCATTCTTTGCACAGTAATTGCACATACATCTAATTAGTGTTTATTAAAAAAGAGCACATCACAACCTTAAAAATCAATAACATCAGCCAACATCTTACCTCCCACATACTGCTGTTGTATTGCGTCATTCATGTATCCAGCTGCAAATTCTGGCAGCCATTTTTGATTATCTGCATTATCTTTGATATGACCTTCTTAATCAAGGCCCTCGCACTTACCACCTGGTCAGCGGAAGCATGTACAAGTCTGCATATGTGCGGTTGGCAGGAACGACTGAGAGTTCATTTTCTCAGGGTCGTGAAACTCATGAGAGCTTTGTGCAAATCACGTAGGATGAAGAGCCGCTTTTGATTTGTGAACAAGGCAGCCGTCCTTTGTGGTCCCAGCTTTTCTTTAACACCATCAGTAACAATCATGAAGAACGTTGGATCGAATAACTCTCTTCTACCTTCTTCTGTGTAACTAAACGGCGTCATTTTGTGGCCAAGGTCTGAAAATATGATGGTAAGGGTGTCAGTAAAGCCTGCCAAGTTGCCATTTATGTTGATCATCCGCTTTCCAGTCATTTCATGTCCAGTGTTAAAATACATGTACGACAGCAAAGGTTTTGCCTTTTCATCTTTTTGTAAAGCAGTGTACACCTTCGTTATGTAGTCCATGAAATACCAACTGAAAAACTGGCCATTGAAACACACCCTAGCAGGAGAATCATAGTGGTTTGTTCTGTCGTACCTGTTCACTACTGTGCTGGAAAAATGTGTCAAGCCATAGTGGTCAATTTTTTTCTTGATCAACTTTTCTTGTAATTCCTTCCACCCGTGGTGAAATAAAACACTGATGCTTTAAGGACACTATAACATCATTTCACTCAGCCCAAAACAGGGCTGTCAATAAGGGCCGTAACCAGTAGCATCTGTTACAGCCGAACATGTTTGATGGGCTCTTGTTGTTATGGGTGAACTTGGCTGTAGTTAATACAATTATCCCATGAAGTTATAAGTTTGTTATGGGCATGATAATCAAGGCTATACGTGAATCAAAACTTAATAACAGCCCTGCAAAGAAATAGTTCCAGTGAAAGGAAATAGAAATTATATGGATTCAAGAAATACGTACATACATACTTCATTCGTCCCAAAAGGGCTTTTCGGAATGAAGATAGGAACTATCAATAAATTAAATAAGCTGTGGAGTGTGCTTACATGTGGACCTTTTGTGTGATTTTCTGACCATTAAAGCAAATAATATTTGAATATTTTTGGAGATTGTTGGAAGGTTAAGTTTTAAAACTGTTTACAAAGATTGCTGAGTAGGGCTGGTCAATGAAGATGTGAAGGTGCTTTGTCTTTACACACCAACAAATTAATTTTGTCGAGTGTGCTATCAACATTTGGCCAAGGTTGGAGAGGAATAAACTCCGTCAAAAGAGAAGAATTTTTAAGTAGCCTTCTGGAAGCATTACTACCAAGGCCTTAATGTAGTTACTGCTTAGTACTTGCAGCGGAAGGCATGGTCCCCTAATGCTTAGCCGATCAAGCTGTATGGGTTCCGGCCCTAGCCAGGGTCACTGGATTGCGTTCTCAGGCAAGACACTTTACTCTCACAGTGCTTCCCTCCACTCAGGTGTATGAATGCTAGGCCAGGGGGATCAGAAATACTTGCTTAATGCCACCGAAACTGGGATAAGCTGCTGCAGTGATCTGGACCACATGGCTTGACACAGACCTTGGCATTATGTCTTTCTCATAGTCCCACAATATGTGTGTAGCGCTGCCCCTGCTGAGCACACAGCATGCTGATGATTCTAGGTTATAACCATGTCGCTTGTACATGTAGCTTTACCATTACTCACATATGACGCACTCACCTTCATTTGAACTCCGAGTCACTGGTTGGCACTACTCTTCTCTGAATATCTGTTAATGCACTTCGCCAAATGCGTACCAACAAAGGTCCTCTTGAAAGAGGGTCTGGTAGCCCCACTTCTGGGAGGTCCCATACACCAACTCTACGCCTGAAGGAGCCTTTGTGTTCTCCCCTGAGGCACTAATTTCATTGTAATCTGTAAATAAAATTTAAAATTACTCCTTCCCTTCCACATAGTTTCCTACATCACTTTGTAAATTTCTCCCTCATTACCAGTGTTACAAATAACAGTTGGACAATGGACATCGTCTGAATGAACTTGTAAAATTACGTATTTAATGTCCAAACAAATCAGTAAATAATAATATATCATTAATATTATGTCTGGCCAAAACAGAGGTTTAAAAGCTGCTGCATCATAAAATTATTTCCAGCACTGAATTATACAACATTATTCCAGAGAAAGGATTGGACAGTGAAATAAATTAAAAGTTACAAAGCATACTGAACCCACCTTTGAGAACACCAGAAAAGAATGGCCTCAAGTTTTCGAATGTCTGTTGACCAATACTCTGGTCGAGTTCAAAATCCAGGGCGGAGGCCTTGATATTTGGATCCTCTGTAATCTTGCAAAGCGCCCCTATTGCTCTTGGAAGGGTTCGATAAAAATGCGGTCTGGATATAGAGTCAAGCATAATCACATTGATATTGATACCACTTCTGCTTTTGCCGTCTTCAACTTTCTTGAAAGTTGGTGAAAAGGTAAGCGCTTGGAAATTACTTCCACATCTTAAGATAAGAAAACTAAAACCCCTTTCCAGGTTCGTTTTGATGGCCCCTTGCACTTTAGCAGTGATTGTGTCCTTCGGTAATGGCTTCCAGTCACTGACAGCTTTATCCATCTCTGGATTGACGGAAGCAATTTGGATATCTGATGACCCACAAACTTTAGCGTCGCATGACAGTTTATTATCTCTTGACTCTGTTACTTGAAACGAACAGATATCTGGGTGATAAATCTCGTCACATTTCCAATCCTCAACATGCCCTGGCTGTCCATAAAGCTTAAGAATTAGCTCAGTACCAGCTTTGTCTGGCCTGAAAGAGAATTTGATGATAAATTAATGGGTTAAATATCAGTTACACACTTACCTAACACTTTGAGATTAAGTTTATCCTACATGTAGGATTAGAATCGTTCCACTATAACGTTGATCTTAGGGGTAGGTTAATACCTGTGTGCTAACAACTTTACTTTACTTAATCTAAAGTGTACGTGAGAGATAAATTTTATGGACCACTTAATAAACAACTTTACGAAAGTCACTGGGTATAAATCAAGAGCCATTCTTGTGAAGCAATTTTCAATATCACTAAATGAATATACTGAGCTACAAAAGTTGTCTGCCCTAGAAGCGCCAGGGTGCCACCAGCAACTAACTGTTACTAACTAACTCTTACTGGGCACCTAGGAATTCATGGTTAGGGACCTTTGGGATCCCAGTAATTTTTCTTAGACTACAGGCAAGAACCTGTGGCTGGGCTGAAATGTAAACTTCACCCGTACATACCTGTGAGGAATACATTTAAATGTTTCATTGATACTAGAGCTATTCTGAGTTAAAACTGTATTCTGTTAACCAAGATGCTGCTGTTGAAGGAGAGGGCTTTCGTTTCCTCCTGAAACAAAAGTGACTTGACGCTATTCATTATGAAATCGGAACAAAAAACCAAACGAGAAAGAACATTAATAATTGTTGTTTTAATTAGATTATGAAACTCCTGGTCATTATGATTAAGGTTAAGAAAATCGTAAATTATGTTTGTATGTGGATGGGACCATGACAAGGTGTTTGCTTATTATGGGAGTTGTTCAACTGTGGTTTATATTTCTTGTGCATTCCCTTTGACAGTTGAATGAAGGCAAAGAGGCCTACTGGTTAGCGCGCGGGACTCCACATCGGGCACTCCAGGTTCAAACCCTGGTCAGAGTCAGTGTCATAGTCAGTGTAAAAGGTGTTAAGAGTCAAATGTGTTGTGTTCGATTCATGGGCAAGACACTTTAGTGTCAGTGCCTCTTTCCACCCAGCTGTAGAAAAATGGGTGCAGCAAGTTAAATGCAAGGTAACACTGCAAAGGACTAGCATCTCATTCAGGGGGGGGGGGTAGCAATACTTCTGTCGCTTAATGCTAAATAAACCAGGATAAGCTCGTGGGCACTTGACGAAACACAGACTTAACCTNGGGGGGGGATAGCAATACTTCTGTCGCTTAATGTTAAATAAACCAGGATAAGCTCGCGGGCACTTGGCATAACACAGACTTAACCTTACTCCCTGACTAGCCCTTTGCACAACTTGGGACCTCTAAGTTTGAAAATCTACTGAATATATTTTGATTACAATCTTTCCCCAAAGGGTATACTTGGAACTTACAATGTATAACTCCAATCTGTGAATTTTCAACCTGATTGTTAAAACTGGTTAAGTTGAAGATATAAAATTCTTTTTCAAAGAACTGTGGAACCTGTGTGGAACTACTTGACCACTTGTGGAGCAAGTCGTCAAGTAGTACTTTTGCCTTGTTTACGAGAAGAACTTTGCTATTGGCGGTTTTTGGACTCATGGAAGGGATCAGTTCCCTGGAGAGATGAGAAGCATGTTGGTCTGTCCTTGTCTACGGATGCTTCCGACTATGGGTGGGGCTGTGGTCTCCACTTGCCTTCTGGCGAGCGGGCATTTAGAGACCATTGGTTTCCACAACAAAAAGAGCTCAATATTTCAACGTAAGAGATGCTAGCATTGGTTAACGCTTTGAAAGCTCCTCCCGCTACTATAAAAGATTGTAGGATAGATGTGGATGTAGATAGTCGTGTTCTGATTGATGCATGGGAGGGTCAGGGGAGCAAGAACTCCCCTCAGCTGAGTAAAGTAACTAAGGATCTTTTCTTCGAGTTATCAGAGCGCAACTTACAGCTTCCTTTAAGTCATGTAAAGTCTAGCAACAATCCTGCGGACGGTCCCTCTCGCCGGCTCTCAGGACTGGATTCAAGGTTATCAGATGAAACATGGAGTCTGGTAGAACAAACTTTTGGTGGAATTTCTGGCCACTCATTTGACCTTATGACATTAGACTCTAGTGCCGTAATTGGACGATCTGGTATTTGACTTCCACATTTTAATCCCTTTCTGAGTCCGGATTCTCGGGGCGTCAACTTATTTTCACTGAATGTACTGGAGACAGAGGATATGCTTAATCCTTACGTTTTGCCGCCGTTTGGTTTGGTGGGTCCGGTTTTAAAGTTCTTTTACAGTTGCCAAATTCCATTCACCATTATTGTTCCAGAGCTTTGTCTGTATCCATATTGGTGGACTGAGCTAACAGCTCTCGAGTGTGAGTTTATGAATTTTTCGTCTCATCTTGCAACCCGTTGCAGCCTTGCCAGAAGATGTGATAGCGCTCTTAGTATGGAAATATCGTGGGGGTAAAGCGCGAGTTCATCTTCCGGCATGTCTACACCTTTCTAGTCAAAATGTTAATATGGGTTTTTGTGAACGCCCCAAGAGACTTGCCTGTGGAACGGTTGCTTTTTCTTTTTCTTCACATTTTTATTACTTTTGCACACATAAACAAAAAAAAAGCTTTAAAAACACAACAATAACACTAGCACTAGTTACATATTTTGACAAATCTAAAATTTGGGACGGTTGATGCTTTAATAGGAAAACTGAGAGCAATTTTTGCTGAACATACGAGAGTACGGAATGGCAGTCGATTTTGAACATTGGCAATCCGGCTGCGGATCGCTCGGTTAAAAGATATTTGGCAGATACACGGGAGGAGCAGTTGAAAGCCAGAGTGGCTCCGCGTCAAGCCGAGCCTATTTTCCTGAGTGATTTGGTGATCCTAGCCCGTCATATTCATTCCCAAATATTACATTGTGCGACGTTAACTCCGAGTCAGATCTATATTTTCGCGAGAGATCAGGCAATGTTTTAAGTGCTATTTTTTGTTGGAAATCGTGCCGCTGATTTACTTTTGTCCAAGACAGTTGAGATTTTACGTTTTCCTGTTAAGTCAGGATTCCTTTTTAACCATTTTTGGACGAACACATTAAGATCGGGGGATGCAAACGTGTTCGCATTTAAGAGAGGTTCCAGTTTAACTATCTGTCCTGTTAGAGGGCTTGAGTTGTATTTTGATGTTTGTAAATCTTGAGGCATTAAGCTATGTCCGGGTTTTTTTGTTGCGTTCTGTAACCAAATCTGGAAATATTTCACCTAAGCATTTGGATTCCGAAGCGGCTCATCCTACATTGAGTGTTTATACTACTTCACTGGGCGACCTATTATCTGGTGACCGTTATACTCTTCACGATTTTCGTAGTGGGGCGGCTGTTTCTTTTTCCTTGTCAGGGGTGAGCTTGCGTGAGATCATGGACCATGTTGGATAGAAGAATAGTTCGACAGCCTTGCGTTACATCAAATTAACGCAGGTGGTAAATCCTGCAGGTGTGGCTGCAAAGTTGGCAGATCTGAATGTCGAGATCGGAAAGACGTCAATGAGTCGTAATAATTTGAAGGGTTTTTCTCAGGCTTTTCGCGAGTAGTGTTTGTTTGGAAAGATTGAGGATTGGGAAGAGAAATAAAGAGATGTTTCAAGAGAGAATCACTAACTATATTAAGAATCACTAGCTATTGGTCTCATAAAAAAAAATTGCAACTGTCCCCAACATTTACAACTGTTATGTAACCATAGCTAAAACTGGTAGATAGATCAACTTCAGACTGAGTTAAGAAAATATTAACTTAATTACTATCATGAAACACTGACTGTTCCCAACCTTTTGAAATCACTTTCGCCATCCTTCTTCACTTGTATACTTGCTTTCAAATTCAAAGGAGAATTAACTTTAGAGACATATTTGTAAACAGATGTTAAGAAGGAAAAGGTCCTTGGAGTTAGCTCCCAACTCATGGGCACTGTGTTAGCAAAAATCCTTTGATCTATTGAGCCGGTTAGAGTAAATTTATAAGTACGATCAGTGCATACATTTGCTACTTCTAGCGCAAAGGAGAAAGTTTCATAATCCCTTCTCGAGAATAAGAGACAATTCAAATCCAATTCTTTCACATTTGTCTCTGAACCAAGCATTTTACGTGGAACACCATTCTCAAACAGTACTCCATTCTTTGTTACATCTGTAATGCTCTCTTTGGCACATCCACGGAGTTTGAGGTCAACTGATTTGTCAACGCATGGCTCAAACTTGCTATACCTCGTCTGCCATATAAAACTAAGAAAAAATACTTTTTGTTTTGGTTGAGCGAACTGCTTTATGGAGACTTTATAAACTTCATCTTCTTTATATTCATGTGGAGGGACCACATGTATGATTATAGTGGTCATGATGTAATCCCCTTGGAAACGCTTAATAACATTGGTAAATGTTTTTCCAACAAAGCGTTCAAAGTTTCCAAACCCAGGTGTTTCATCTGTATCACCTGAAAGATGGAAAAATATTAATTAAATGTAATCATTTGGAGCTAATAATCACCATCGTTTGAGGTTCTTCTTTTAAGTTGTCACTCATTTCAGCTCTTTCTTTATCCACTCTCGCATTGGATTTAATATGGAAAAAATCTTCAAATTCCCAGGAAAGCAAGCGTTTCATTAGCACCATAGACTCTTCAAAGTATTCCATGATCATCACCAAATCAAATTCTCCTTCCAAAAAGGCAATGTACTCTTTGACTGCTGTGAAGTT